ATAGGGTTTTTTTTCAGGGTCGGGGACGACGTCGGGGTGGTGTGGTGTATATTTTTTTACCCTCGTTTCCTGTGTGAACAGCGACATATATACATACATGCACGAGGTTCCCGTGTACACCAGGATTCGCTTTCATGTTCAAATTTCAGTGCAGGGCCAGAAAAACCTTTGTGTATAGAGTTCGGTCCCTACCCGCGGATAGGAAGCATCATATCGGTGGAGGTCATCTGTTGTCATATACATATATCACACTTCAGCCGAGTATCGTTGCCATTGCAGCTCGTGATTGTGCAAGGTTTTTTCTTTCCATAACATTCTTCATTTGAAAGCGAAATGAAGAAACACTTGAGCTGAGCCTCGTTGCCTCCAGTGCAGCTCGTGATTACAGATGATTTACATGAGTTGCTGCAGGTGTGCAGGCATGCCTGAATGCATCATTGCGTGAACGTGTTGCGAACCGTAGCCGCCGAGGCTCGAATCTTGAAGCTGCAAGACACTTCCTGGAGCCAGGCGGAAACATGGCGCAACTATAGCTTGAGAGCGCTTTGGTATCATCGAGGCGCCGAGGGCCCCACGGGGGGCTCCAGAATGACACGGAGAGCTGGGGATGCTCTCGGCACGGGCACCCCCGGCGGCCCGTGAAGAGGAGGGGAGCGAGGGCCGAGTGCGAGCGGGGAGCGTCGAGGCCTTCCGGCGCGTCTACCGTGAGGGCGTTCGTGAAGGAAGATGCCCGGGAGGCTTCGGACCTTGGAGAGGGTGCCTTCTCTAGTGAGGGCGGCGGTGCTCAGTCAGTCAGTCAGTCAGTCGGGCCAGGCGCCAGGAGGCGGCCCATCGGCAGGGAATTGAAAAGAGCACGATCGGCTCACGCATTCCAGAAGAACGGTGAAGAACGACTCTGTGACAAGACCGTGCGACAATGCTGCAGACCTACGCTCCGTGGAGGCCCGTCCAGTGCACGCACAATTCGCACGATAGCCTGCGAGCTTGCCAAACGAAATCGCTGGGAGAAAGGGGATGGGAGGGGGCGAAGAGGAGGCGGAGGACAGGACGCGAGAGTGAGAGGCTAAATGCATTTGTTGTCAAGCCGTTTGTGAACACACTCAGACCATTGATGTTTAGGCTTCCCACGCCTTCGCTTAGGGCGACGGTGCTATCCTTGGCCAATCTACGGTTGGAGAGTTCACTGGCTTCCAGACCCTGGATTTCTCCTTTCGCCGTGACATACGTTTCCTCGGGCATGCAAAGGTCCGAAATCACCGAAGGGCGGAAGTCGGGCCGACCTTGCGATGATTGCCTTGCACCTGAACAAGCAATTGGAACATTGGGCAACGCTATAATTCCCGACCAGGATTTACTTCATGCTATCAATAAGCACCAGGACCTCACGGGCTTCATTATCTCGCTGCTGGGTGAAGCCCGACACGGCTCTTTCTCTTAGGATGCTAAAGAGGGGGGGTGATGCCATTTTGGCACGTCTGCGGTCTCTCGAAATTTCAAATGAACTTTCGTCACGCCGCTGTATCCACTTGTTCCCTATCCAACGCCCTCACCGTAGCCCTTCCCCTGTGACCACCAGGGGCTCCTGGAGGCTTCTGGGGGCACTCTTGGAGCCTCTTGGGGGCTTTCTCGGGACCTCTGGGAGGCCTCTTGGGGGCTTCCTACGGCTTCTTGGGGGCCTTTGAAGGCTCCTTGGGAGGTTCTTTGGCCGTCTGAAAGCGTTCCTGGCTTGTCTGACGCCGTCGGACGCCGTCTTGGGGGCCTCTCTGGGCCGGCCTGGGGACCTCTTGGGGCGCTTCAGGGCCGTCTTGGACGCCCTCTTGGGCATCTTGGAGGTCTCCTGGGCCGTCTTGGTACCCTCTTGGGGCTGCCTTGAGGGCCTCTTGAGCCCCCCGTGGGGCCATCTCGGAGGCCTCTCTGGGCGCTCTCGGGGCCGTCTTCGTGGCCTCTCGGGGCGTCCCGGGTCGTGGGAAGCCGAAAATGAGCAAACATCCTCCTCCTCCTCCCTCCTCCTCCTCCTCCTCCTCCTTCTCCTCCTCCTCCTCCTTCCTGCTCCTCCCTCCTCCTCCTCCTCCTCCTCCTCCTCCTCCTCCTCCTCCTCCTCCTCCTCCTCCTCCTCCTCCTCCTCCCTCCTCCTCCCTCCTCCTCCTTCACTCCTCCTCCTTCAAACACCCAAGGACAATGATTTTGGCATCTTCGGGGGTTCCTGGAGGTCCTCTAGGAGGCCTCTTGGACCCTCTCGGGTGCCCCTTGGGGCGACCTTGAGGCCATCTTGGGGGCGTCTCGGCCCGTCTTGAAGACATCTTGGGGCCATCTTGGGCTCTCTTGGGGCCATCGTTGCCGTCTTGGAGAACATCTTGGCCGCCCTGGACGCCATCTTGGGGTTATCTGGAGCGGGAGGACCAACGACCTGGGCGGTTCACGGGTCCTCTTGGGGCGGAAAGGCAAATGGAGGGCGAAATTTGTGCATCCTTCCGGGTGGCCGGCGGGTTGGGCCGAAGGCCTTTGGGAACTTTTACAAAGAACCGCAAACTACCGAACCGAACGTCCAGCATGCCGTGCACCCCTGTGGCAAGCCAACAGGGGGCGGCGGATTCAATGGCTGTCGGGCCGTTCCGACACCATGCCTAGGTTGTAGGTCAGAAGCCTCTTGGTGGCGGTTTTGAGGTGTCTCTGGGGACTCTTGGGGGCCTCTTGGCCTGATTTGGGCCTCTAGGGGGCCTCCTCCTGGAGCTTCTGGGGAGCTTCTCGGGGGCCTGCTGGCGGTCTCGGCGGTCGTCTTGGGGCGAAGCGCTCGAAATGTAGGTTCGTGTTCCCCTCCGGGGCCTCTGTTGGGCCCCTCTTGGGGCCCTCCTTGGGTCATCTCAGGGCCCTCGTGGCGCCCTGGGGCACGGCAGCTCCTGGGGGGCCTCTTGGAGCCATCCTCGGGCGTCCTGGGGTCTCCTGGGCCGTCTTCGGACGATCCTAGATCCTCCTCCTCCTCCTCCTCCTCCTCCTCCTCCTCCTCCTCCTCCTCCTCCTCCTCCTCCTCCTCCTCCCCCTCCTCCCCCTCCTTCCCCTCCTCCCCCGTCCTCGGACGATCCCGGATGCTCCTGGACCGTCTCGGGGGCCCCTCGGGGCCCTCTTGGGGTCGTCTTTGGGCTTCTCTCGGTTCCGAACGCGCTCCCGCGGCGGGGCGCCGAGGGCGCCCCGGGGGGCGGCGCGCGCGGGAGCGGCGCGCCCCGGGGGGTCGCCCGGGGCGCGGCAGGCGGCGGGCCCACCTCTAAGAATGAAGCCTCGGGGCGGGGGGCGGAGCTCGGCATCGCTCGGAGGCGTGCGCCTCTTTGCTCTCGGCGAGGGCCATCGGGGAGCATGTCGGCTCCTCTCGCGCAGGGGAGGTGCGCGCGCGAAGCCGCAGAGTGCACAGGGCATGGGCGTCGGAGCGACGGCGAGCGATGGCGACGTCAGGGCTGCTGCTGTACCGGCGGGGGTGGCATAGGCGGCCTGGCGGCGCCTCCCCTCCCTCTTTCCCTCTTCCCCGCTTCTCGGCGGCTGGCTGGACTTGGCCGGCGGCCGCCTGCCGCCTGCCTGACCTGCTGCCTGTGGCCAGGCTTGGCCGCGGCGGCCTCTCTCGGCTTAATGATTGAATTGATCAGGGGCTACGCGCCACTGGCGCGCTGGCAGAGGCAAGGCCACCAGCGCGCCTACCTCTTCGCAGCCTCTACCCGGGGACATTTCAACTCGTGCTTCAGGGCACGGTGGCGTGTTGAGGACGCCTCAGGCGAGAGCCCCGTATTGACCCCCCGCCCCTCCATCCGTGCAGCTGTTGGAGTTGTGGGGACGAGTATACGCGTCGCCAAGGCGAGAGCTCCAGATTGAAAACGACCCGCGCGCCATCTTCTATTTGTGTAGCTGTTGGGAATTCAGGCTTCAAGATCATAAATCGTGAGGGTGTCTCAGGCGAAACGTCCGCCCCGCCCTAACGACCTCGACTCGCTTGTGGTGCGACAAGGAAGAGTTACTCATCAGGAAAAGGGATAGAGGAGAAGGGAAACCACACACTACGTTTTCTTTTCCCACGCGATGGGCAGTGATTTCGTTTCCTGACCACGAGGCGTGGGCCTACGACACATACTATGTATAGAGGCGAGAGATGGCCGATTGCAGGTGGCGGGAAGTCACGCGCGCAGATGGGCGTGCGGCGCAGGAGACCCGCGCCTCTGCTTGGAGACCCTGCCAGATTGGCGAAGCAGACCGCCCTGCCGCCGCCGTGGCGAGCGCCGCAGTCGGCCCCGCCGCCGCCACAGCGCCAGCGGGCCCTCGCCGCTTCCGCCACTCTCCGCCCCGTTCCCCGCCCCCCCCAGGTCACGCGCAGGGGCGCGGGAAGGCCCCAGGCAGTCCTGGCTGGCATCAGCAGGCCCCCCGAGCAGTCCAGGGCGGTCTCAGCACCCTGGCGCCGCATCTGGCGGCGCCCCTTGGGTCGCTCCGTGCCCCAGGGTTGAAGTGTTGAGACCGCCCCAGGCTATTCGGGGGGCCTGTCGAGGCCAGCTGGGACTACAAGTCGACCCGCACAGTGAGGAGGGGCAACCTTCCCAAAGGGTACCTCTGCATCCCTGCCTCCTCGGTCCATCCTCGGCCGGTTTCACTGGCCGCGCCCCGCTCGCAAAGTGTCGACATGGCCTCCCGAGGCCCTTGCATCCTTATCGTGCGCTTTTACGAGACGAGTCGACTGTACTGGGGGGCCCGTTGGGGCCAGCGGGGGCCACCTGGGGGGCCGTCTGAGCGCAGCCCGAGGCCTCACCCAAAGACGGCCGCGCGCACGAACCCCGCGGCGGCGCGAGGGCGCGCAGTGGGCCGCCCTCCGCCCCTCGGCGATGGGCGCCCTGCCGGCGGCAAGCCGCCGGGCGCTGCAGCGGGCGGGGCGCGAGGGCACGCCTCGCCGGCCGGGGCGGCTGTGGGGCCTCGCGGCCTCCGCGGCCTCGGCGGCGACGGCGCTGCGCGGGGCGGCCGGCCGGGGCCGGGCCTTGGCCGGCGCCGCCCCGCCGCCGCCGCGGCGGCGGGGGCTGCTGCTCGGGCTGGGAGCGTCGGGGGCCCCAGAGCCGTGTGGTGGCGGAGCGCGTGGTGGCCCCGGAGTCCCCAGCGTCCTCACCGCGCGGTGCGTCGCCGCATGGCCTTGGGACCTCGGGGGCCTCGGTCGCCCGAGAGGCGTCCTCGGGGAGCGGCCCCGTGTCCCAGAGCCGCGCGGCCACCCCGAGTCCCCACGGAGGCACCGCGCGGTGTGGCCACTGCACCGCTCGGGGGCCCCCGAGCGCGTGCGGCGGCTGCGCGCTGCAGGCTCGCGCCGCCGCCTCTGCCGTGGCGGAGGGGCTGCCGGCCGGGGAGCTCTGTGCGCTGCACAGGCTCTTCGGCGGCGATGCCAGCGTGCGGGACAACCGCCCGATGCCGCAGGAGGCCCCCTCGGGGGGCACCATCTCCGCGCTCAGCGTGCAGATGCCCGCCCTGGAGCGGCTCGCCCCGTTCCTCCGGGCGCCGGGCGCGCGGGTCCTGGACCTGGGCTTCGGGAGCGGGGTGATGGTGGGCATGATGCTGGCCGTGGCCTCGGACAGCGCCACGGTCGTGGGCGTGGACCTGGCGGACAAAGTGCCAGTCGCACGGCGAAATTTGCTGGCGCAGGATGGCGCCTGCCCCTTTGTGCCGTTCGCCGAGGAGCGCTTCTCCTTGCTGGGCGGCGATGTGTTCGATTACCTGGCCGAGTGGGAGAGAGAGAACAAGGTCTTCGACGTCGTCTACGCAGGCTGCTCACTGGATCCGGGAACCGACCAGTTGCGGCGATTCCTGGGGCGGCTGAGGGGCAATGGTGCTGCGGTGTTCAATCTTGGCGAGCCCGGAATGCAGGGGATGTATTTTGTTTCAGACAAGGGTCGCGTATGCGAGCTGATGATGCGGGTCAATTTCATGATGTGCGAGAGCCAGCTGACGCCGCGAAGCGATGCTGGCGAGAGAGTGCCATTGGATCCCAGGGAGCTCGGAGAATGGATCAGACAGAACGTGTACGCGGGCCATGGGGAGTTCTGAAGCTGTCGGCCGCACACTACGCTGCGAGGCTGTGCAATCGGGCTCCAGCATGTTGTGCCCTACTCGGAACAGAAACCGCGCTCTTGCCCGTTCACAAGATATGGTTGTCGCCGAGCAGGCTGGTCGGGGAATGCAGTGGACCACTCAACCTTGAACCTTTGGGGTGCCTGGTGAAGAGTTCGGCGGTTTTGGTATCACGCTTTCCTGTAGTTTCCGTGGTGTCAGCCCCGAGGATGCCGAAAAGCATTTGGCCGGTACAGCTCCAAGCTGCTGAAACACATGTAGCGTCATGCTCATTACACAAGTTGCCAGCACTGTGCAACCCACAAGTTGCAATCTATTCGGCGCACTCAGTGAGTGCAATCTATGCGTTGCCATCTACAGTGCCCGGTGGTGGATGCCCCATGGTGGATCTTAATCATGGCTGGTGCCGTGTGGCAGCTGCCCTACTGGTGCTGGCGCCATATTGTCGGTGCCCTGTGGCTGTTGCTCCAGCGGCCGACCGTGACAAACAGGAAACAGGGCATCAAGCATAGAACACCACGCGCAGGGCGGCAGTGTGCGACTGGCCGACTGCGCAACGCACGGATCCATAGGGCACCAGACCACAGGGCACCAACCCGCAGGGCACCAGCGCGAGAACGGCCGACTGCGGAACGCGCGGAACACGCGGGACCACAGGGCACCAAAGCACAGGGTACCGGCGCGCAACATGCCCCTATGTGCAAGCGCTGTTCGGGGAGTCGTCACGGCACGGAGGTCGACCTCTCGCAGAGGAGTCCGACGCTCCGACCTGGCTCTCGTCACATGGACTCCAGAACCACTTGCGCAGCGCTGGTGCCCAGCACTGCAAAAGGAGTGCAGTGCGACAGAGATGTGCCACCCATTTTCAAGGCGGCTTTCTTTGATGGGGGGGGATGAGAAGGCGAGGTGGTGAGAGGCGAGGAAAGGAAACGACAGCAGGGGGGAGGAGAAGAGATAAGACAGGGGAGGGAACCAGAGATGAGACGGGATATAGAAGACGTGATTTGATGCTGGGGGTGTTAAAGTATCTGCGACGCCGTCTCCGCGCAGGAGTACATCTTTTTGTTTCGCGTCGTGCGTGACGTGCGCTCGAGACTTGGCGCCAGAGCGATGGCCCTTGGGCCGACGAAGACAATTTTTCCTTCTGCTGCTGCTCTTGCTGGTTCTGTCATCGGGCGGTGATACGGGTTGTCGCGGTGCCGGGGTCTTGTCGTGCCAATGGTGTCTTGGAGTCGCTGTGCGGTCCACTCCGAGTGCATTTTGGAACAACATGTTAGGCAGATGTATGCCCATGGCGATTTCTTATTGACCCAATCGTGGAATCAAGTGTGCGCTGAGCCGCGGAGTCGCCATGCCGATGTCGCATGGGTTGTGAATCGATCGTGTGGCAATCGTGAACCGTATGTGAAGAGGTTACATTCTTGC